CGATGAGGAACCTAGGAGCAAACGATTATTGGCACTAATTCCTTGTCGACTAAAATTCCTGAATACCAAAAGCCAAGGACGTAAGATATCACATAAACGTCAGCTTCATAAACAATCATAAGGGATTCCCTCAATGTATCACAACTGCAACGGTAATTATTCTCAGTTAATTCAAAATTCCCACGTCCAAAATTGAACGGAAGGCTCCTCCTAACTGGTCAGAGTTCGGATATTTTTTATGTGCGGGGTACCGAAGAGATTTTTCGCGAGGAGCAAAGGGAACAACTCTTGCGCACCCCCATGGATGGAAGCAGACTTCGCTGTTGTTCTCTCGAGTCACTCGAAAAGTAAAGTTATTACTGGTGGTACAGGTGGTATACTAAATAAAACTATCAAAATTTTATTTTGAGATACTATTATAACCGATAAAATTAACATATGAAGGAAAACAAACGTCAAGCCCAATACGGCTCACGCTAAGAAAAATGATTTGCTTTCATAAAGCACATCATAAAGGCATTGCACATACATGTAATGAAAGAAGCTAAAATATTGTAACTGAAACAAAACCTGTAAAGTACTTAACTAAAATAAATATCTGAAAGCTAACAGAGTGATCCCGTAATGTAATACCAATCGTTAGTCAGCCGGACAGTGGCTTCGCAATCGGACTAGATCAAATTATTTAATGCGCAATGCAGATAATGAAAACAATTTGAGACTCATTCCTAATAGCGGTACAAAAAAGAAGGATTCTTCAAAAATGAGGAAAAAACGGGAAGTAGTTAAATCTCTAAAGATTACCAATTGAAACAGCTAATCACGAGGAGACGGGTTATACGAAAGATTAAGCGAAGGACGAGGAGAATCTAACTCATTAACCACCGATAGCGATACATACACCTGAAAAACAACCTGTACTTATGGAATCTATTTCGTCGTTTCAACAAAATGACGGTCAAAAAACGAATATTTTGATACGCTGATTGTGTAACATGTGAAAGCATCAGTCATGTAGTAATTATTGCTAGAATTTCGTATGCAGTTCTTAATTACTGAAGCAATCTCTTTACAGTCCCGTCTATAAAACGTTCAGACTTCGTGCAAAGGTTCCTTCAGTCCTTCAATAAATAATTGTAAGCTTTTTTCTTTTCACTGATATCATGACAAGACATTGGGTCAGTGTAGTGGTTAGTGACGCATTCCACCAAGAAACAAGATGCTGGCTCAATCCCCTACCCAATGCTCTCCCTCCAATCCGCGTTTAAATGCATTAGTTACGTTGTCTCCAAGACTACAAGGAGAATCGACTCAGCCGTCATTCTGCGACGTTTATAAAGAAGGCGAAATGCTCAAGCTGCAGCCGAAACAATACATGAAATGTTCAAAGACTTTTATAGATGTGATGATGAGTCATTAAATAAATAAAAATAATTATAACGCCTACCTTCGATGCAGGAGTACTACCTCTAGAATCTACACCACGCTCTCCATCAGATTTATGAGCTTCAGCATCGTCACCGTCCGACAGGATGTCAGTGAGTTCACAGTCAGCCAATTCTTCTTCTTCCACTAACCTCGAGTGATCTTCCTTAAAGAACAAAAGCACAACTATTCATTTCTTTAAGAGAAGTATTCTTTTGTGCGGAAACATTGGAGCAAAACTCCTGAGAATAACTTCCATACAATAACAATTCCAGAACGCGTTCCCCAAAAAATTCCATTTCATTAACTAATTGCGAACAATGATACGTCTTTATTTTTGGTGAGATTATGTGAACAAATATCTCTAGTCTCATAAACAATTCAAAACCAACATCTACACAATATGCGAAGTATAAAAAAAAAAGAATGAAGCTCTCGGCGTTGATCAATCCCTGAGGATGGTGTCATGCATTCGACTCGATTCGATTAAGTATCGTTGGAAGTGATTGAATGCATGTCAGGCCTTTATAATGACTCGCGGTAGCCTACCGATGTATCGAGCCAGTGCTGCTATACTCCCAGAAAAGTTTGGTACCAGTTCGCTGACCCCGGAGGGATGGGAGGCTTGGTGAGCCATGCGCGCTGGAATGAATCATCCCATGTGTATTCATGGCGCCCCCGACCACTGCGCCACACGCGAAGTATCCAACTAATTTTTACTTTCTCATAAGATCGATATACGGACGTTGTATACAAAGATGTGACTATTCTCCTACATTAGCACATAACGTCTGAGATGCACAGCATGATATGCATACGGAATAGTAGTGGTTTGGTGAGGGTAAACCGTACGAGGTGCATTGTATCCATTCGCTTCTTTTCAATGGTTCATTTTGCTATACAACCCTTTTGTCGCACATTTTCCACTCAGCAGGTTGTCCAACAGATGTTATTTCAGGCGCAGATTGTGAAAAGATGTTCTCTATTTATGATTAGTAGTTCGCTAACCGGTAGATTGACAGGAAATTGACCGTTTCTTTATTTCCAAGAGCTACTATAAATCATGGATATCATATGGAATGCGCAGGTATAAAAAGCAACGAAGCAGACACAATATAATGGTACTGAGATGCGAGCAAAACTCTGTATCTCAGTTAGGCTTAACACCTCTGATTATCCTCACCAGCGGCTCACACGCTATCAACTGCATCAACCGAGGTCTTCACTTTGCCTTTTTCTGTCACGCTTTTACTCTGTCGGTGCTATCAGCAATTATTACCCTCTAACGGGAATGCTCTGGGTTTTATTTCACATAGTACATCGTCATGAAAAAAAATAGGCAGTAAGTAGAAGTTATGACACAACATACGTTACAGAACGTTTTAAAACCTTGCTAGCTATGTGACTGCAAGGTGAACCTACTAACATATAGAAAACAGTTGCATACATATCGTGCATACTTCTAGAACAACACACAAAAGTCTCTTCAATACTCCAGTTATCCGCTATCTTCTTAACCCCCGAAGTCCTCTAATTTTCGAGAAACTAACCTCTTGTTTAAAAGCCAGCAAGTCAGTGAAGTCAAGAAACTAAACGCCATTTCACGAGGCGGTTATGCAAAATTGAGCAGGTGGAGCTATCTACTGAGAATAATGAACAACAATGATTCTTCGATAATTGCCAATAACGTTGCTACCTAAGGTACTTGAAAAGTTCATTACAAGATTAACCTGCGCCAAAAACTTTTATTTTAAAGATTTAAAAAGACTTCGAAGCGAGGAAATATTGAGCTTCACAAGTTAGAAATTCACCGCTGCTGAAGAAAAAACCTATATGGAGTGCGTCAAACAACTGTAACTATTAATAAGCCCGATTTCAACTTAGAAAGTTCATTGAAGCTAATACATGTTTCTGTAAATTTGAAAGGCTCAATTACTTTTGCTCATTGTAAGGTATATTAGTCATATCGTCCAAGCATGTTTCACTAAAATCGTAAAATCTGATTTGCTTCTTTTTAGAAGAAAGATAAAACAGTGACAGTATTATTACATTCAAACGAAACAAACCTCCTCCAGCGTGCGCCTATCAATTGACCTCTTTTGTCGAAGTATCGACTCTCTTGCCACATTTAATTCAACCTCGTCATCACTCTGAGGCGCTGAGTCCTAGAAGCGTAATTCATACAACTGAAAAACAAACAAGGAAAAAAAATTCATGATGTTACCTGGTGGTCAGTAGACACGGATCGTGACTGCATTACATTTCGGCCACGCTGATGTATTGAGATTGAATCGGTGATTGAAGTGTACTCCTCATGACGCTGACGGCGTACGGACCTGAAAAAAGTCTTAAGCTCTTTGAAAATTTTAAATAAGAAAGACTCACCCTATTGCCTTGCATGGTGTCTGGTTCGTCGGGTCAAGTGAAAACACACTCGCATATCGTCGCTCATGGGGACGAAGTGACAGCAGGTCTGCATCATCGCCCGAAGGATGTACTACACCTTAAAAATCTAAGTATTTGTTTCGAGAAGCTTATATGATGAAAGGATGCTGAGATAAGACCGAGAGAGAAAGGGAGGGAGAGGTAGAGAGAGAGAAAAAGAGAGAGAACATCTAAAGTTAACCATTTCGGTCGGATATGTCCTACGGATACGGTGTCCTAACCACAAAGTGTTAGCCTTTAATGCCGATTTTCAAACGATGTCAATGCGGACTACTAGACGTTTTTCATTCAATTGCAACAGAACTGTTTTAGAGATGTTCTCCAGTCTGAATTCTGAGCTCGTACGCAAAATATTCTTGGAGCGTCAGCATATACAGGCAATGGCCAGGGCGGATCAAAAGGAGGTTTCCAGTCATGCTACCTGAGTTCTTTCACATTTCAACTAGCAGGTCAAAACGAAGCAAATTTTCTTAGCCAGTTCTGCAGCTTGTTTTCACTTAAAAAACACTAAAAATACTACCACAACGTTGCTGAGATATTTGCAAAACTCTGGACCGCAGGTGTCTATGGTGGTGAACGAACGCGCTGTTGTCCTTTCCGGAGAGTAACGTGGTGTGGTGGTGAGCGTGTTACTCCCCGGAAAGGAGAATAGCGCGTTCGTTCCCCACCATAGACACCTGCGGTCCAGAGTTTTGCAAATATCTCAGCAACGTTGTGGTAGTATTTCGCTTAGTACCCTTCCGCGAAATTATAGTAGGCAGAAAATAAAAAGGTATGACTAAAAATACTATAAGAAAGTAACAAAATGAAAACACTTATTTAAGATTTCAAAGTAAAATTTGCACAACTTGCAGAGAAAGTAATGAAAAAAATACCGACCAGTTAGACTTGGACCACACACTGTATTCATACGTTGTCTACGTTGTGAAACAGGAGCTTGTGATCCACGACTTTCTGTTGGATCCATAGCAATAATCACATTCGAAGTATGAAATTTTTATATTCAGAAAGCGTTGAAACATTTTTCAACTTCTAGTGGATAATACCTCAACATAAACGTGTTCTTCTGGTGCTGCAGTCTTTGGAAGTTGAGACGTCATTAGTGAACGAATACAATCCAGAATTTCGGTCTACGATGGTATTATATTCAAGAGGAGCAATAGGTGAAAAAGAACCTTGAATAAATTTATCAAAAACTGTGGAAGGATAACTATACTGACCTGAGTTTTCTCAATCGTACTCAACCTATTGTCTAATTCTGCGATTGTTTCGCGAGTGTTAACTTCCTTCACAGCCAAGTCATTGATACGATTTAGGATAACATCAGTCCTAAAATCGTAAGAATGATGCTCATGCCCACAATTCAGTAAAAATCCGCACTGCATTGCAGCAACGGTTTCGACAATGAACTAAGATTTACATTTACATCTCGAAGGACTTAGAAGTGATGGCGCACATAAATCAGTTTCTCAAGTGGAAAGATTAGGTCGCATCCCTATTACTATTCTACAATTCACTTTACACGACTATTAATAAATACCAATTACAGAGGCGCTTTTCAGAAAGATTTACATTGGTACACATAGAAAAATTGTTATAAGCAGCACAATAAAACCAATTTGAGAAAACGTCCTCGAGACTTATAGAGTATAAGTTTCCCCTCCCACCCTTGATGGACAAAGATAGAATCAATAAAACAGTTCGCCATGATATGGAACTAATAATAAAAAGACATAGGACCACGCTGGAGAGGTACAACCTGAGATTCCTTCCTCTGACGTTCGAGTTGCGATTTGTCAGTGGTTGGATTTCTTGGAAATCCACGGACATTGACGAAACACCTGGTAATTACGCACCTTTCAGCAGTGCGCTGTATGCGCTCCTCGTTGCTAGTGCGTTTTCGATGCTCTTTATCTCTTGCTAAGTCATCCATACAATCTTCCTCGAAGTCGTGTAATTTCTCCACTTGATCGTCATTCAAGAAGAGTTCTAGAAAACTTCCATCAATCATAAGTAGGAACTGAGGTTGTTCAAAAGAAAGAAGGGAAGTGGAAGAACCAATAGACTTTTTTCTTTTTTTACTAAACTCAAACAAACTTTGCATTACCAGAAATTGGATTGTTAGAAGTACATAGAAACTTCACTTAGGCTGAAGTCGAACATCTTTTTTTGACCGTCGGGATCCTTATTCTTAATAGTGGATGTAAATCGCATCTTAAAATAACGCAAAGCAAGGCCAGCGTGCGAAAGTGGGGTGAATGGAGGAGGTACAAAAGGAGTACTTTCGTATTCCATCACCTGAAATCTTTTGAAATCAATAATGAATGAAAGGACAGAGGAAGTACTTTTACAAAAACTATCGTAGTAAAATAATAACAGTGCAAAGAAAAGGAACCCACTTGGCGATATCGATGAAAAAGCCAGATTTGTTGAGCTATTTCGTCAGTTTGGTCGAAAATGTTACTATAAATTCAAAGATTTGACAAGATCATAAGAAATCTTGGAGAAAAAAATCGTCTACAAGAGCACTCACTTAAATATTGCAATCAGCATACTCATCAGAAGAATGTTAGCGACCAGCAAGAAGCACGTCATCAGAACAGGAGGGATCCAATGTCCAGGAACACAGGTTGCTCCTGTTGTACTGTTCGTAATAGGAACTGAGTTCTCCAAATGAGAATCCCATGCTAAAATTGAAAAAAGTGAATACCTAAATTCTCTTGTTCACTAACTGCATGCACGCATGGGGGTGACGTATCGATTTACCAGTACATGTGTAGCGCTAATACAACTTGCATACTTGCCCAAATATGGCCGCCTCGCAGTCGCACATCAAACACCGCAATGTAACCTTTGTAACGTCCTTACTTATTGTAGAGGCCCCAGTATTTTCTCGATTTTTCAGAGTTCTGCTGGTTCAGCCATTGTGTATCCCTGGAGTCCTAAGGTTAACCAGTCCAAGTCTGCCCCAGGTCGTCACCGCTACAGGCAGTCGCTGCCCTTGTGGATCCGTGGGAGATTTGCCACCATGCGACTAGTTTGATACCAAGACGGTGGCCGATCCTGGCATTGAGTTACCCTTAGCTGAGCTTCTTGATGGAAACGCCGAACTCCTTAGCGGCTCGGAAGACCCTGCCGTGGGATGAATCCTCTGCTGTACATCGCAGCCCAACACTCAAGAACACCTCCCAGCCACGATAAGATGGTAAACCGTTGGGAGGAGCGTTAATACAACATTGTCGGGAAACAATGAACAGACTGAAACACATACCATATAACATTATGTAATGATTAGAATGTCCTCTCCAACATTGCCCCCAAAACGAGGTACTGAAAATCTGGAAATTGACATGGTACAATTGAATAATTCACCTTCATCACCACAGGTGTCAATTTCGTCAGCGTATACTTCTCCGTACAGCATGAAATATGGCTTGTAGAAAATATTACGAACCTAAAGTATTTTCATAATAAAGATGTGACTACAAACACGACTGAGAAGAATAGACAGTACTAACTAGTAGCCAGTGCCAGTCCTCATTTGGATAGGTTATGGATTGACGTGCGAGACCAAACGCTAACAGTGACACGACCAACATGACTATTATGTACGACATATTTAATATCTAAACAAATGTAAACACAGGCAATATGTAGTATGATTCGGCAATAACGAGTGATATTTGGTCTGGGTCCCACAATTTGAAATACAACATATTTTACTTACCATTTTACCAGCCATGGTAATATATGGACCAAGTCGAGGATGTACACTCATGTAATCAAGTAATTTCATTGACCAGAGCACTGAACTGCAAGCCAGGACCACTCTTCCCATTTCCACCGCACTAAAAATTTACAAAAAAAATGGAGGTGAAGGTCTGGAAAGTGATAATGACTCACCCACAAGTACGCATTATAAAGCCAACTATATACGATATAACAGCCACTGTAGTGACCGTATTCCAGTAGTTGTGGAAGAAATACTTCAGCTTTTCCCCAAATGGATGAATATCTGACATCAGAAACTAAAAGGAAACGTTAGTGAGCGCAAATCTTGAACAACTACATTAGTACAAATGCTAATGAAAAGTTTATGCATAGCAAAAAGTGTTCAATAAAAGTTCTTATCTAAGGTATTGAAATTTTAGAAAACTTCCAAAGAAGTAAAGATCGCTCACAAGACGTACCTTCCTAAAATGTTCCATTCCAAATGCAATAACATAAGCGAGCAACACCCATTCCAACAACGTAGGAGTTGGAGGAGTTCGAATTAAAAGCACATATGTGAAAGCACAAAGAAATAAACAGAAAGATAATGTCCAAGCCCAAAATGTAGTGATAGGTGCAGTATAGAACTCGTACAGGCGACGGCGAATTTTTATTGGCCGCTAAAATAAAGAAGTCCCTCATCAACTAAAAAAAGGAATTTACGGCAACATTAGAGGTAATACCATTCGGGGAAGGTTCGCCCCCACAGTCATCAAAAAACCTGGTCGAGTGTTGAAAGGATCTTCACTTTGCTTAGTGACAGCAATTGAGCTATGGTTCCGAGATGATGATGCACCTGAAACCAGTTAAGGACAACAGTGAATACAAAGACTCCGACCACTGCGTCACAAGCACCCAATGTGAACAATAATAGCAAAGGTTCTCCTTGGCATTCCGCAGAAGAAATTCGCATAACTTCGGTCAATGTGACGTTTTGAACATGCACTTTAAACATCGGAATAAATACCCACTTGAACCATAAACGGATCTTCCACGCAAGTGACTGCCGCTTTGCAGGCCATTATGATGATAGGAAGGAACTCGTGTCCTTTTCCAATAATATGGCGGCGTTGACGAAGAAGTCCCTAATACCGAAAGCCCTAATGAGGTAGTAAAAATTTCAACACAGATAACTTGTGGCCGAAATCACAGCGTATCTCACCACGAAACGTTCCATACTCAACACGCTCCGCTTTACCAATTTCACTAGCACCGGCATCTCGACTATCCTTACCGTGTTTCCTTCGCCGCCTACTGTGGAACAACTGAAAATGAGGTCACTTCTAGAAATTCACAACTATTCACACTTCACTCATATGAACTCAGTCTTCTTCATTTCTTCACGTTGCTTCCACACTCTCTTGTCTCATTTATTATGTTCCTTGGAAGACCAACTTTATAAGAAAGGTGAGAAATGAAAATCAGTGTATCTAAATAATGCTAACAAACCAACCGATGCAATGTTAAGCGATTGTACACTCCCATGTGAAACACGCCGGCTGCGTTTCTGATCTTTATCAACTTCAATCTGGAAAAAATAAAGAACTTACATAGTATGAATAGCAGTCCCATATTTAGGTTAGCAAAAGCAGCACCTTTTCTTCGTCCTCCTCGTCTTCAAAACTGCTGGAGCTTGAATCTTCCGAAGAACTTGAACTGGAACTTGATGAACTACTACTCTCGTTCAAATCATGTTCATGTTCCAATGCTGTCTGTAACGGCGCAGAACATTCGAAATGCATTGTAACTTTAGAGGTCCTAAATAATCTCACTCACGACTTTATAAATAAAGCATGGAAAAACGCATTACTATAGCCTATTTCCTCATAAAGCGTCGAAAACGAAAGGAAAAGTAAGCAATAAAAATAGCTTTCCTGCATGTAGCATTATGAAGTGCTGCAAAATTTTTTTACATTTAGGAAGCATCTCACCAAAGAAAAACATGAACGGATAATTCACTCGAGCTGACACAAACAAAGTCTCTATTCTACTTTTCAACGCGTCAAAATTCTGCACGACATTTCGCTTGGTTATGTGACACAAAAATAACCAGAGACATGAGAATAACCGCTCTTCGTATGGATGACCTATGTCTTCGATGTTTTCGTGAAAGCGCAAAAATTCAGCCATAAGTGAACAATCATGTTTGAAGTGCAGGGCTGAGCAAATTTGCAAGTTGTTCTTCTGGTGCTATGGAAATAGATAAATAAAAAGGATAGAGCTTTCGGCGTTAATCAATCTCTGAGGGATACGCTATGCATTCCATTTAATTAAACATCCTTTTGGAGGTGGTTGAGTGCACATTTGGCCTTTACAATGACTCGCAGTGGGTTACTGATATATCGAGCCAGTGGTGCTATCCTCCCTGATAAGTCTGGTTCGTACTAATTTGCTGATCCCGGACGGGTGAAAGGCTTAATGGACCAAGGACGCGGGTGTCGATAACAGGTGTGTTGCAGGGCGAATCCGACCACTGCCCCATGGAAATAAATGTGAAAACCAACCGTATTTTGTGACCTCGAACAGCCTCCCATGTACTTCCCAATCAGTTAACTGTCTTGTTTAAACTAATATAGATTTTACAATTTCTTTCACTAACACTACTCCCTCATATCAAGTAAACATGGTAATTTCACTTGTCTGACATGGGTGGCGCTGATCACACTTAGTTGAAAGAATTTGAATTCCGACACTCTTTCGGTTGAGCGCTGTTGTCTACTGAATCGACGTAAAAGATTCGCTTAGACACAAAACTCCAAAATCTCAGTGCGTGAGTATCGCTAGATGTATACGGAAGTTACAAGTAAATTCTCCCCTAATTTTTCTATCTTTATATGACCCGTCCTCACGTCTACTGTGCGGATCCTGACAGTTCTCACATTTATCATTCGTTTCCTCACATCCACCATCTTCGAAGGTCTTCCAACTTTTATGTGTGGCTTCGACTGCTGCCTGACGATTTTCATTTCATTATCAATGTCGTGGAATGCTGGTTGAGTCGATTCTTCCCGGAGTCCTGAGATATCTGGGCAGGAGCGTTCCCAATTGCATTGCAGAGAGTGATTTTTTCCCGCACTTGGTTAGTCCGGAGAGAGATCGAACTAGCACCATGCTCGCGATGACCGACATTACTACCACTGTGCTATCCACTATTACAAGTAAATACACCGCAACAAATATGATTTGATATATATGTAAAGTGAAGGAAGTTCAAAGCGACAGAATGAATAAGCCCATTTCTTTAGTCCAACCATGTACCAGAGTAAGGTTACTCCTAATGAGCTTAATCGTTTATCCGGAGATCCTACATAACCTGTAACCTGCTCGTTTCCTTATAAAAGAAATTCATGGTGAAATTTTGGAAAAAGTACAAGAAAATCAAAAAAAATTAAAGATAAGTTGCCTTAAAAAAGTCCACCAACCTGCGGTTGATTAAGCAATTCTTCTCTAGTCTTGAACTCCAACATGAAAATTGAAATTGGGAACAGTAATCCGCAAATCACTTTTAGATTGGAGTGGCTACAAGATATGTGAAATTTCTGACATTGCTCTTTAATAGCAAAGATAAATTTTGCCAGACTAAAACACTTTCTACCTTCTAATTCGTAAACCTCCATGCCACAAATCTGCCAACAGTATTTGGCAACTAAAAGCAGAATCATATAAAGACAAGAAATGAAAAAATTCCAAAACCAAAATAAGAAAGTAGAAACCATGGATGTGCAAGAAACTGCTTGTTGTTCACCATAACTGCCAGCGATAAGCACGTTTGACATCCCCAATTTGATAGCTCATACGTTAAAAGCTAAACAAAGCAAACTGTTAGAGTGAGGATAAAATAGGTTTTTTCACACCTGTAGTGTTTGCGCATCGTCCTGGTGATAGCAATGCTCTAACAGCTCCAATGAAAGCAAGCGAAACTCCCTGAAAAACAAAACGTCCTAAAAGTCGTGACGATGATTAATAATATACACATTATATTCTCTAATGCACATGCCCCGTCTTTACAGAATTTTATTTGGTCGTTTGCCTATTTATTTGAACGTTTTGTACTCACTCAGCATACTTCTTCAGTTCGTCACAAATTTCAACCTCAAGGTAGTCTTCGGCTGCTTCGGTGGCCAAGCTTTTGTAAAGGCGACAGGCAACGAGCGCCTTAAATATAAATACAGCTCAGTACGGTAGAAAATTTACACATAGTTTTTGGGAATGCATAACGATCACCACCTTTGCCAATGCTTCTTCTCCATGTTGCCACAAACACATGGCCATTTCTTGTCTTTTTGTCAAAACTGCCCACAACAACAGCTCACTAAAAGGGTATCGGAATTCGAACTCTTTTAATCGGGAGCTGTCCGTGCCACCCGTGTTTGACAGCTCTAGAAAATGCCAAGAATACTTGTTGTGAGGTAGCAGTGTCACATCAACGAGAGAAATACCACTGCAAAAACCTACCGTCATCTTGTTCACTACAGCATTCACGAGAATCAGCAATGTTTGTCTGCCGCATCACAATTGGATTCTGTGAAATAAAGTACTTTTTACGAAAAGAAAACAACTCAAATGCTCTAATATAAAAAACACAATAAATAATCTAGAAAAGTATCGTAACCCTTGCCGAGATTTAATAAAAGTTGGTTTTTAAAAAACCTTGTTTCCATTTACAGTGGTTAGTGATGGAATCCATCATGAAACAAGTTGCTAGTTCGACCTCACGCCAACCCCCTCTTCCAATTCACCTTGGAATGCCATAGCTCGGCTATCTCCAAGATTGTAAAGAAAAACGACTCGACCAGTATTCTATGCGATTTATAAAGAGAACGAAGTCCTCAAACAGTAGCCAAAATAATATGTGAAATATTCGAAGACCTCTGTGGACGATGAATGCGAGGAAAACAAATCGAATGCAAGCAGTGCTTGGATCAGCACGGTACTGAAGCATTTCCAGTCTTGAAAAGGAACAAACCCAAAATTTACACCACCCAATCGCTACCCTCTGAAATTTTGAGGGTCGGTTTTACAGCATATATTGGCATTCGTAAATCTACTTGTATGAAATAAAGATCGGTTAATTGTGAATCTTCGATAACAGCAGACCTAACGTAAATCCCGAGCTGCTGTTTAAATATCGACGTAAGATACCTCTATACCGACAACTGATATACAGATGTCAAACGACATTCTCAGCCAAGTCATACAAATCACCCTTACTCCCTTTAGTCGTTGAGGTGTGTCTGGGCAATGCATGGAGGGTCTACAATGAGAACGTCTAAAACTGATCGAATCTGAATTCGATATCCAAGTCCAAGTTTATTCATGTCCGATTCCAGATGATAGGATGATTAAAACTGCACTCTCAGTTTGTCCTGTCTTCGAAAGAACACCAGAACACTTATAGAGGCTGCTACAAATTATTAGTAAGGCAAGAATTCAGGACTCTAATATTGGTGGCATACGTGGCAAACGGGTTAATGCTAATGCAAGCAATATTTCTTTTTTAATTAACCCTTCACCACAACAATCTCTTGTCGACGAAATAAACTCTAGATAATATGTAAGCAGTTTAAATCGCAAATACCGAACTTTAGTTTTCGAGTAGTCAAAAATATCTTTAGACAAATTCACCGGTGACGAAATAAACTCGCCCAAAAACACTTTGTAAAATAATGAGTGTAGAAAAATGCTTTTAAGGCCCATAATCCAGCTCAATGATCTGTGCTAGATAAGCTATCCAATAAAAGATAAGTGAGTAAAAAAATTGTACGGCCAATTAAACAACCACGAAAGAAATGACTTGATATCGAACCATGCCGGCCCACCTACCCGTCACCTCCCCATGCATGAGCAAACAATTCATTCACGTTGGTCTCTAATTCTTAGTGAATGCTCTGATTAAGGCAAAAATAAAAGTACTAGAAAATTCATTGCACTCACGTCTCTTCGAAATGCAGACCGCCACAAAATATGATTGGAGAGGGCTCGACTACCGCTGACAGCTGCAACTCCTTCAACAATCGGTTCTGCAACAGCAGGTGCTGCAAAACCGCTAAGAAATCCACTCGGTTCAGTCGATTGCCGCGACATAGCGCCAGAACCTCGAGGCATATTATAGCCATTTAGGTGACATCCTTTGCAGCCATTGCTTCCTGTCTGAAGATGTTGCCTTACCGTCTAAGCTCGAAAATATTTAAAATAATCCCTGTATTCGCGAGGAATTCAACGCATATGTGCTCAAAAATAGTTATGCAGAAGAACACTAGATCTTCGCCAAAAAGACGTTCTGAATGACCTCTCACCATGCACTCCTATTCTACAGTGATGAATGATTGCTTTTTGGAGCTCTGAAATTGTTTCTCTACTGCCGTTCCTTTCAGTAGCAAATTTCATCTAAAATCTCCCAGCGTTTGTAAAGTTGAGAGCAAAAAACTTAGCCCTTTAGAAAGCACGAATATATTCTTCACGCTACAAGGAAAGTTCTTCTCCAAGTCTGCAAACTCATCAACTTTTTCAAATGCGCGACTAGTCTAAAAATTATCGGTAGTTGTCGAAAAACCCGCTATGATGTGTACATAGAAGTAATTTTATTTGACAAAAAAAACTTTACTGGGATACTGCAATAATATGTAAAGCAATGAAATTTGCCTACACCTCAAATAAGACATTGGCTAAGATAGAGAGTTGATAGATAGAGTCGCTACGGGCACTTTGGAGTTGACATAAAGCATTGTTTTCCATGTAACTGACACTGGTGTGATCCTGTTTTATAAGAACTGTGCAGTTTCAAGCACAATTTCCACTTCATTAATATTTTTCTAGCTGAGCAATAAGTTTTTTTCCCTTTAGAATTACACAGAAAAAGCGGGTCAGCGAAGATATAACAAAAATTCGGCCTCTAACTGCGACAAACTATTTAGTTATTTATAAGAACGAAAACATGCCAGAAAATCAAATACCGCAACAAACTCCGCACAAGAAAAAAATTGCTAGGATGCTATATGGAGATCCAATAACACGGCTGAGAGAAAAGCGAAATGAAAGACTCGCATGGTGTGGTGGTGAACGCGTTAGCTCCCGGAAAGAGTAAAGGGTTCGGTACCAACCACAGACACCAGCCATCCGCAGTTTTGCAAAAATCTCAGCAACATTACAACTATATGGAGAGTTATCACACAAGCTCATAACGCCTTTAAGGAAAACACTTTTGCGATAAGACCTTGTTTATATAAATGCTATTGTATACATAGATGTTTTCTCGTTCCCGGGCACTTCCAAAATCTTTTATTCTCTTTTTATTTTACTTTTTATTATAAAAGTCGTTGTTAAAATTAGAGAGCTGCACACGTAAATAGCAAATGATGTCAAAAATGAGCATTTATCTGTCACTCGACACTCTATTACCTTAAGCCACATCCACCACGAAACAAAACAAGAAAAAAATTACTTTGAAATACGCTATGTACCCAGGTTACTGATCCAACTACAATCCGTCACATTGCCTTCCATTGTTTCAAGTGAAAACTATTGGTAGAGCAATATAATACAAGGACAGAAGTAGTTAATAAAATAGACAACTGTTTCACTAACCCTGAATTTCTTCATGAATGCGCAGTACTTGGATCTAAATTCAGAAGTCGTATAAGACGATTTGTAGGCATTTCCCATCAGCTTCTCAATGACCAACCCAATATGAGGTAATCTAAAAATTCATTGTTTCATGAAGCACTTGAATGTGTTTTCCTAAAGTTAGTAACTTTCATAATTTCATAATATATTTTGAAACAGAGGCATCAAATAAACTGAGTACACCAACTTATATCGATATCCTTGTCGCACCTTCACTACATCTCTAATAATGTAATACAATGTGTTTGGTGGTCCTTTGTCCTAAAAAATCAAGTGTTTAAAGAGACGAACTAGTTGGAATTACTATGATGTGAACATATTTATGTCTGGTAAACGATTCGAGATAAGAAGCTGAATTTAAAACAAAACTCCTACTGCTCATCAACATCACTCTCGGTATTTGAAGAATGCTTTTGGTCTACGGCTCAATAAATTTTGAAAGCAAGGATGCGTGGAAACAACAGTTCTTATGCTGTGCTACGTGAGATTAAAGCACATAACAATTTGAATCGATTGTTCAAAATCCTAAGAGTGGTATATCAATATGTTACAATGAGAATGCAAATGCCATGTACGCGCTGGTAATCCGCATTAGGCAATACGTGGTGTACGGCATTGACCATCTTTGGCAAAATTTTTCCTTAACTGGTATATTCACTCCAAGTCTGTGAGTATCACGTCACCAATTTTCGTGTCAAAGATCTAACGACCCAGTCCAGAGTAGTGAGACTTAGGTAGTGTTTCTTCGAACTGCCGGAAAACTTCCAACACCGAAGGATTTCTTGAGTTGGCCTCTGCATTTGCTATTTTTGGTGGGGAATTCTCGAAAAAAAAAACCTATCAAGTGTGTCAGAGCACATATGCTTACTTGATAGAAGGACACCCGAACGCCTCCCAGTTTCTAGTCATTTAATTACAGGTTTTTGGCGAACAAACGTGCATAAAATCCATTTACGGCAAGCACGTATTCTTAGGTATACCGAAAAAGTACAACCAACTCCCTAATCTAGCCCCATTTCAAATAAAGTGTAATGCCATTTGCAGCAGGGTTTTGAACCACTTACCCATTTACCTGGGGATCCCTGGCGCAACCCCGCAACTTATCGCCTGGAAATCCCACTAGAGGAAACCCATGGCAATAACCAATTTTGGTTAAGAAACTAGTCGACAGTCATTTGACAAAAATTTAGTGTAAAATTCCACAAGTGTTTTAAAATAAAATAAAAATAGGATCATTCTATCCATACAGTATTGTAAAGCTCTTCTAGCCGTCCGATCGTCAAAAAACGTTGCATGTTCACACCATTTTCTAGCAGTAGCCGAACGAAGTCGACACGATCGTTGATTAACGCTTCCATCATTGCACTGTGTAGTGCAGATTGTGGCCACTCCTAAACGGTAACTACTTCTGAAGAACCTTGGCTTCATTAGTTTTAAAAAAGCATAAACCAATACCTTCTGTAGACTGCAAAGGTATATTTTTATCTCTTTTCCTTCATTATTATATTAGCTGTAGTTTTTAATGTCTCCTTTCACTCATCAAGCTCACTAAGTTACCGGTAGAATACTAACCTGACCGGAGGTGAAAATATCAGATCTTGCAATGTCAACACGACTCCATGCTAGTGCAAGAGCTAATTGATCGGCAGGAGACAAATTCTGACCCTAAATCCACGATTGTCCACTTAAGGAAATAGAAGCTAACTAATATGATCACAATTAAAAATACAACTGTGTCTGCAGATGAAAATCTACCATGCACCTTCAAAAGAGCACTAAGAATTGCGTGGTCCACATCCTGTCCACCTTTCTCTCCTAGACGGAAAACCGTCATCTATAAAGTTGAGATTAACCACCAATCTCTTATTTTGTGTTATGAATAAAGCAGTAATGTTACCAAATGCTTCTGCTGGGTGCACATTATTAGTTCTGTAACGACTTTGTCAGCTGTGGGTCCACCACAGTCGAAAACTCTCTGTACAAGTTCGGCCAACTGTGGACGAACGCCATCAGGAAATGACCTTCAAAAGTACGCTTACAGTTTGTAAATGCTTTTTATGATGCTTTTAGTCCAACAATGTGATCTTTTAGAGATAAAACGTTAAAGAAGAATGCGCACCCGTTCTCTCGCACCGTCTGATGGGCAAAAGCTAAAAGATCTGCAGCACGACCGCTACCGTCACACACAACCACAGGAACTCTAGGAACACTGAAAAACTGTAGTCTACTCTCTAAAAATTCCCCTCCATGGAGAAAACGATAAAAAAGGAGGTTATTTGTTGGCCTGAGACCAATGAGTATAGGAGCACGATAGGGTTTCGTAGCGCAACTCAAGCGACTTTTTAAGCGTTAATTGTACAGGGTATGTTATAGCTTTACGAATCACAAAAATCGTACGCACTCAACTAAAGTTTTCGTCACAGTGGTGATTAACTGCTCTGCCATAATTTTCTTTGCCTAGAGATTCCAAAGCCGAACCACCATGTCGTTTCGAAGGTACTATTAGCTAGACTTCGGCAAAGAAATGTCGAACTCCCTCCCAGCTTAAGATAGCCCCATGGAAGGAGTACGATAACGAACATTTCCAAGCCACGTTTAGGCAGTAAATTATTGGCAGGTTGGTGGAAACTTTGATACTTTGACGACGAGCAAGAGTACTTCGATCCCTAACGCATTTTTCACTTGTTTTTTTAACCTCGCGATCGTCTGTCTTGATGGTTGCTTGCTTCCAAAATGCTGACGTGTGCAAGCACAATCCAGTGGTCTGCACAACGTTGCAGCTGTAAATAGAACTAATTAATTATAGCTAACAGCACGCCCACCTATCATGCAGCTGCCTTCTCAGAGGACGATTGCACCCACTTTGAGCCCACTCCAAAAATTCTTCCTCACCATCTGCGGTCTATTCTCATTACATGACCAGCTCATGCATTTTTCGCTGTAGGTGTACCTCTTATAAATCTAGACGATGATATAGGCTCCTAACATTTGAGCTAAAATACCGGCTCGATGTTGTGGATGCCAATTAAATTTCAGAAGATATCGTTCAAGTGTTCTGTGAGCGGAGAGCAGAATTCATGACGTGGTTGAAGTACTGACCCATGTCCCTGCTGTACAACAGTGCTCTGGGAGGACTGTCGAGTCGAAAAGATGAGCGCGTAATTTCGGTTCTGTTAGTTGATTTGTGGCTTATCTATGAAGCTCGCACTCGACCGATGCTGCTCTGATTCTTCTGTGTAACTTCTCATTTATATCACTTCCCATCTTCCCTGAACGACTAAGATACACATATGAGACGTCATTTATGTAATCAGAGAACCAACCATTTCTGTTTGTTCACATCGCGCCATCTTATTTCATGAGCTTCCGATTTATGAAGCAAACTACGGTTTGAAAGAAAAATATTTAGATCCTTCATTTCGGTTCATTAACTTCACCGAATGTTGCCCATAACCGTACAGGATCTAGTTTCTATCGCAACTCACATATATCGAAAAATGAATGATTTTTGTCATATAAAATAGGGCAACAGTGGATTTTATAACGGTGACCTTACTTCCCATCTTTCATATCATACGGCGCATATTTGTTGGATTTTTTTTAACCTTTACAACGCTTTCCCATTAACGTATAAGTGTTTAATTGCGAATGTTCAGTGACTCTACAGCTCAAGTGGTTTTGTGGACCAAGACTATCGACGAAGTCCTTAGATATTGGTAGATTCTCATGATGTACTCTGTTAAGAAAACATCCCTGACACGGAACACTAATAATTATATGTCCATCATTGTTTCCATTTCATTTTACCTGACTTGTCACCAATTCTACTGTGCGGATTCCAGTACTGCGTGCATCCGATTCGGTTTTTCTCATACTCATTGTCCACAATGGTCTTTGAACCCTTCGCATGTTGTTTCGGCTGCTGCTTGCAAATTCTGTCTTCTTTATGAAAGTGTAAACTGCTGGCTGAGTCGATTCCCCTTGTAACCTCGGAAATTGCTTAGCTAAGGCGTTCCAGCGTGGGTTGAAGGGGAGCGTTGAGGAAGAATCGAACCAGCACCTTGTCACCTTGCCCCTGATGGACTGCAGCACTAATTACTTCCACATTTTTAAAATTCATACTCACAAAATCCGTCATTATGTTCGGATTAACCTAATATTTCGTGAGAAAAATAAATGTAGAAGACAAGCCAGCAATAAATCTTCCTGCGAAAATGAGAAAAATTTACAGTTTCATAGTAGTTAAAAGTTACTTTGTAACATAGTCCAAAACGGATCTGATGGTGCAGCTTCCACCTTCGAGAACCACACAAACTACAGGAACGCTGCGTGAACCACCGGAGATCTTCTGCTTCTGTGCAATGTACGTTTCTAATCGCTTTCGAAGAATAACTTCTGCGCCATATCTGAAGAAAAGTTTCCATAATCGCAGAAAGGAAGGCTCAACGATAGATTAGTTAACAGTCAAATACATAATCTTGTATGACTGAAACACATTGGTAAACTTGTATCTCGACCAAAATCTTAAACATACGACGACCTCTAATTTCCATTCTATTGTGTCTTGCACTCGATAATTCCGTTATGCTATGTGGTTATGACAACTATTCCCAGAACAGTTCTTATTTTCTATATCATCGTACATATCCTACATATATTAGCCATATTTACGGATAACCACATTTATCCTTACACTCTATACAAATCGCTATCCAATGAGCTTTCTGTGTAAGCTCTGGAATCGTTGTCTGATGAACTTTCTGTTAACGCATCCTCCGCTATACCGTCTTATCTGATGCACCTTTCCGTATGTACCATGTCTTGGTTCAAAACAGCTCTGTCAGATTGCACTAACGAAGAAACATTCTAAAACATTCCTTTGAGCATTACCTCTGGTTTCTTGCGTCAAAACTCCGCCTATTACCGAAGCAAATATAAGGAGCATTATTAGTCATCGAGTCAGTGTTAGTGTTCAGTGTTTCGCCAAGTTTTGCTCAGCACTTTCGCTCGTAATCGTTCGCTCAACTAGGTAACATCAGATTGTTAGTATTGGATTGTAATTATCGCTATAAACAGTTATAACCCAAGTTTGAGGTTGTTCTCTCTGACTACGAAATAGGTCCAGCCTGGTAGACTCGTAGAAAGCCGAGCATTTTACTTCGAGATAGCAATTATTCGATGCCGCTAGACTGGAAGACATGTATTCCCCTGCATCAACTAATACATTTGGAGCACTGGCCAAGCCGAACTGAATTGTAAGGAGCAGATACGCTACTATTCTAATACTTCACTACACCAACCAATACACTTGGTGCATTAGCCAAGTTGATTCGAACTCTATCCTAATATTCTACTGCATCTGCCAACTCGACCTTAAAGGAACAAACAACGGTCAATGAATCAAGCAAAAGCACGGACCACCTCATAACAAGAAACCTACGTACAAGTACGTTCAATTGCTATATAGAAAAAAGCGTAAAAATGTCAAATACTCCTTCCTCACGCCTAAGCGCACTAACCAAAGCAATTGACCGCCTCAAATCCTCATTCAACACCTGAGAAAATGGGGCGAGCACTCTATCAGACATTCCTTTTAACGAATCTCGATGAACGGAGTACATCGCCGCAAGAAAAGACGCCATGAAACATGCCAAATAGGTAAGCCATGCATACAGCAACGAGCTACAAATTCCAATAGCAGAGGGTCTAAGGGAAGGTATGAAACTAAACGTGGATAGGACATTACAGCAACTTGACAAGGCAGAAGACTACCTCTCTAATCCACTTGTCCTGGAAAATAAACTAGACAGCACGAAAAGCAACAGTAATACTGATTCATCGCTTCACCAGCAACACTACCACCTATTCTTATCCCAAAATTTAACGAAGACATCAAAAAATGGCAGAAATTTTGGGCAACTTTTAACCGCACCGTACACTCACAGCCAATGAATGACTTCCGAAAAAAAAATCCGCTATTTGCTTGACACCCTGCAAAGAGAAGCAGAGGAAACAGTCGAAAATTACGGGGCATCTTATGAAACATATCCCATGATAATAACCCATATAAAAGAGAAGTACGAGGATCGACAAGATCTTACTGATCAACTGCTCCTCAAATTACGTACAAGCAAAGCGAAACCTAGACGCCTCGAAGGTGAACTAAAATTTTGCGAAACTCTTCACTCCACAGCTACACAATTGCCTCATAAAGGAAAAGCAATCGATACCAGGATCGTACAAGAACTACTACTGGGAGAACTCATAAAAGAAATCCAGAGGTATACTCTAGGGATAAGAAATCGGCCGGAAGAACAAGGAACCTGCAGAACGGAACAGCTTCTGAACAATATCAGTGATGGTGTGGTGGTGAATGCGTTACTCCCCGGAAAGGACAATAGCGCGTTCGTTTCCCAACTGCAGACACCTGCGGTCCTGAGTTTTGCAAATATCTCAGCATCAATATAGAGGAACTCATAATAAGAACCAAAGGGAAAAAACCAATAGAATCAAGAACGGAGTGCATCCATGTACCGCTAAAAGCTAACACAAACCCACAACAAACGTTCACAGGTAAGGTATACTCATGCTTCTACTGTACCAAGGTAGGACACCTACCAAATGCCTGTACAACGATGAAAACTCAACAGGAACGAGTACAAGTGATAGGAAGTCGCAATCTTTGCTACCTGCGTCCCCTGCCAAAAAAATGAGCAGTGTAGCTTACAAATACCCGACAATGGACGACCTTCTAGAAAGACAGTTGATACGATCACGCCCATTTGAACATGTGAGGATAGACTACTTAAGCACATTATCAGCAAAATACGATGACATCATAGCAAAGGTCTATGGAGTAATCCTCACATGTGTAGCCACCAGACTGTATAACATGTCGGCAAATGCATTACTTCTACCACTCAGACGGTTCTTTGCTAGACAAGGAGTACCCAGCACCGCCACCTCGGATAACGCATCCAACTTCAGTCTAGGTGAACAGACCTTACGAACCGCTATTATTCCACTCATAAAGCACGCATCGCTTGCAAAGGCAATAGCAACAGAGGGAATAACGTGGAGGACAATAGCCCTCTATCCTCCGTGGCAGAGAGCATATTATGAGCGCCTTTTAAAATCCGTGAAGCATTCCCTTAACAAGGTCTTGCAAAAGCCAGTCCCAACGGTGGAACAACTGGAAATTCTCTTCGTGGAAATCGAAAAAAGTCTAGACACGCACATATCTCGAGGAAGTGCCAGATAAACTCGTAATCCTGCGACCGATCAACTTCATACAAGGGGATACGACCATAACATTCCATTTGAAGCTGCTGGAGACCAGGAAAACGACACAGATTATCTCGTACAAAGCCGAGCTTTCTACTCCGAGATAGCAATTATTCGGTGCCAACAGATTTGACGACATCCACTGTACCAAATAATACAGCGATTACCGACAAAACTATTCATTATAGCAATTACAAAGCATAGTGCCCTTCAAGAATGGTACTCTTAGTGAATCAATGCTGAAGGTAATGGACCACTAGTTAGATGAAGTTGACATCTGTGTATCCATGATTGGTACTAAGAGTCTCAGAAATGCTCTCTGAGAGAAAGACTCATTTGATTGAAATATGCAGTGGAACTAGAACAGGCCTTCCAAAAAGATTATCGAAAAAAATAAAGGATGGGAGCAGGCTATCGAAAAAAGAGGACAGTTGAAGCCTCAACAGAATCGTAGTGGCATTATGATGTTCAGAAAAAAGACGAGAAGGAGGCAATGATGTTGCCCACCCAGGATGTCGTGTTCTTTTGCGCCAACTTATCAAGGCCACAAATAGTCGAAAGCTATAATTAAGAAAAACTTTTGTTTTGGATACAAGAGGCCTGTTTTAATTCCTGTTTTAGCTTCCCTGTGACTTAGGTACAAACGATCCTTCTTCCATTTAATTACCTAGACGCGTCTGATGAACATGTGGAAGGTCATCTGTTCGGATCTTATTGAATAATTCTTCCTTGCAAATTTTTGAAAATGGGATGTAAATGTCATCATTTTTACAAGAACTATGCAATGAACAATACTCAGTATTTAAATCGAATCGACAAATGAAAATTGACTAGTTGGTTCTCGAGTGTATCTTCGATGGATCACGAAAATGAAGTAGAGCATCCCCAAATGCTTCAACTGCTACAGCACTTAACGAATAGCTGTATCTATTTAGCAACCATCGATTTGGACAGGCATCTAAACGCCCATAGAAGAAAGTGAATATATATATATACATATATATATATACATATATATATATACATATATATACATATATACATATATACACATATATACAAGTATATATATATATATAGACAAATCATATATATCACATACGCAATTTATATGTATACACACATGTATATATACATATATATACATGTATGAGATAGGTGAACAAGTTTGTTTGCCAAGAAACTGCTTGCGATTCTAGACTGCGTACAGCTATCTAATCAACAAGCCATATACTGGAGCAGATAAGCGAACAAGGACGTTCTATTGGTTGTTGCAAGGTGCTAGTGAAAATTCAGAACTCTAAATTTGCTAGTATAGGTAGCAAACGGGTCGACGGAAGGCGCAACCAGTACAACTAATATCGGTTTACAATGTTATACCTTTTTATTTTCTGCCTACTATAATTTCGCGGCAGGGTACTAAGCGAAATACAACCACAACGCTGCTGAAATATTTGCAAAACTCTGGACCGCAGGTGTCTATGGTGGGGAACGAACGCGCTATTGTCCTTTCCGGGGAGTAACGCGTTCACCACCACACCATTCGGGTCCTTTGTTTCGCCTGTCTCTCAGCTATTTCGATCGATCTTTGCCACAGCAATCACACGTCAGCGGGATTGATCTGGGGCGCCCAAATCGGCATAGAACCCAGTTAAGCTGCGGCTGCAGTTGAAATCACAATGTTATACCTTTTTATTTTCTGCCTACTATAATTTCATTGCTGTGGCAAAGATCGATAGAAATAGCTGAGAGACAGGCGAAACAAAGGACCCGCATGGTGTGGTGGTGAACGCGTTACTCCCCGGAAAGGACAATAGCGCGTTCGTTCCCCACCATAGACCCCTGCGGTCCAGAGTTTTGCAAATCTAATATCGGTTTAGTTTGCTTCAGTAATGTCCACAAGAAGTAAAAATTTTGTAAATAGCAAGTAAAATGTACAAGTTGTAGTTCCAAAAGGATGTAGATTTCACGTAAGGACTGTAAACTACCGAACTTTTAGATTGGTATTAATCGACCTGATTACATATTTAAGCCCATTGACGTTGATGCACTAATATTTTGAAGGAATGTGCTCAAAGACTTACTGCTTTATCATCGGAAAAATACGTCCCTAAGTGTCAAAATTCCGTTCCAAGTATAGTAGCGGTGTCTGCGTTTCTTACTAACGCCAAGAAGCCCTATAGTGGTCACTCTCTTCACAGGCAACAATCCTACGTAAGTGAAAAGAATTCCCCGAAAAAGTTTCCTTTTGTAAACCAATAAGTGTAGAGAAGATCTCTTCATGGACCACACATCGTACAAATAATGTTTGAATGGTTAACAACCACAAATAGTGTTGCAAAAGAAAAGTTTTGGGCACTAAAATAAACCATGGAAAACAAAATAACCTCAAATTGATTCATAACGGTAACACTGTCACCCTAACGTGAAACCGTATGAGGTCACGTCATCGCTTATGCATTAAAGATGAAAAAAGCAATTGCTAAGAGCAGAGATACCAACGGACTTGAAACGTTAACATACAAGTCACAAATGGGCAATATACTCTTAACAGAATCAAAAAAAAAGTTCATTGGAAAATCAATATTTAAGGCTTATCAAGAAACAAAAAAAAACATTCCTGGAACACACGAGAGTGAATGTACCTGCCAACGCTTCCGTTATCGACAAGAAGGAAGTAGGAATGCCGATTATTCAATGCAGTGAACCTAGTTTTACTGGAAAATGGATAATACGGTACACATACACCCTGAAACAAACCAGAGAATAACTTATGAGAAAGTAATGAAAATAAGTTGGCATTCAGAAAGCTTGACCTCGCCAATCAATTCATCTCTCTTTTTGAGTAATCCCCAGGGCGAAATTCCAATACAGACCACCTTGTTACGAGAGCTTGAGCTGGCACCTGTACAAATTCTTTATTATGAAGGAAGTGAAAGTTTCCTATTCAGTGTGAAATTAACGAATGAATTGGAAAGATGATGAAAATTCTTAGCCAAAAGAACATAACAAAAACAGAAACTGTGAAGATATATTACATGCCAAGCGTCTCATTCAAAAACATTCACTCTAATAAAAAAAATGGATAAAATTCCCGTTGATCGATCCATGAGGGTGCGCCATGCATTCGACTACATTAAGCATCGTTTGGAGGTGGCTGAATGCATATCTGGCCTTCACAATTACTCGCGGTAGCCTAACGATGCACCGAGTTAGCGCTGCTATCCTCCCAGGCAAGTTTGGTACCAATCTGCAAACCCCGTAGGAATGGAAGGCTTGGTGGGCAAGGGGCGCGAGGGTCAGATCCCACGTGTGTTGCAGGGTGGGCGCCTCTGACAATTGCGCCACATGTACCTATGAAAACGCACACTACTATAAACAAAATCTAGATTTTTACTGATAAATTACAGTGAAATCTAAATCTTCTGGTAAAAAATCTAAAAAAAATCTGAAAAGTTGAAGTCCACAAACGAAAAAAAGTTTTACCCTCAAAAGCAGCGGCAACATGGCGCACAACTCCTGTGTCTACACCGCTGGTAATAATCCACGCTCCCGTAGTCGTAGCTGCTCTCAGCAAACCTCTACGAAATACCCGCGCTAGTTTTGGTTGAATACTGAAACAGATGAACTATTCCAGTGAAGTCCAGAAAATGTATAAATTTGAGAAGAAAGAAAACCCACTCAAAATTATTTGTCCCACCGTGTACAGTGATGATAAGCTTCGGTGGAGCTATTTGCCAAACCTAAATGGTTAATACCGCTCACTTAGTTCAAGCATAGTATTCACGCTTCGTTTTTTGTGGCAGAAGTAAGAAACTTCTAAATTTTCCAGCACTAGTGCCAGTCATATACATTGTTGAGTACATAAGAGTTACCCTTTGTATTTTCTTGACAAGAATCCGGTTTCCTTATGTCTTTCTTGCAGCTTACCTAGTTCCTTATGTTCTCGTTCTTTTCCGTTTACCTTTCATTTTAAATTCTCAATGCCAAAGGTCCCAACCACAATATTAACCAATCACCCTATGACAGGCAGCTTAACAACATGTTGAGCTCTATATAACGTTTACACCCACTCATACTTGAGCATGGTGGAGTTGAGAACTTTTAACGTTCCGAAAGCAAAACTGTGAAGAAGTGCGCTATACAACAGTCCGCTCTGTCCATGCGTTGTGAATATCACAGAACTCTTCTCAGCAGCAACACTCTCCATAGTATGACACACTCTAGCCTCCTTACCAAAATTGTCTCCGCGCCAGACAAAAAACTATCCGCTGAAAAATAACCTACTGGGAAGAAGAAGAAGAAGAAGAAGAAGAATATACAACTTAGGTGATCCATTCTCCCAAATATTAGTGGAAATAAAGCGAAATAAAAGCCTATTCATGAAGTTTTATAAAACCAACTAGCAAAGTGTAACATAGTCGTGGCTGGAAGGCGGAAAAAATTTTTCGAATCATAAACAAAAGCTAAAGCGTTGCAAAACTATAGATATTAAAGTCACAAAGATTAATGAAAACGTAAATATGGAAAATCGAATCATACAAAGACAACCACAGTAGACGATAGTGGTGTTCTTTGGGGCACGATAGCGCGCATGGGTCAAATCCATGCATCTCAGGGGCGGCAAAAAAGTAGACCCGCGCGCTACGCACCCGCAACATAAAGTTATGCCTAGTTGCAAAAATGTTAAAAAGCAGCGAAACAGCAAAATTGAAGAGCTATTAACGCCCACTTTTCATGAACGCACCTCTTCAAACATTGATATGATGAGAGCCGGGTCAGTATCAAATGAAAGACGAACATACTGTGCCTTGTGAGGATGAGGACCACCTAAAAACGTTCCATTAACAAACAATTATCACATTCCAAAATCTTTGAAAGATTCGGCTCTTTATCCTAATTAATAACTGTTACCTTGAAACTCAATAGTGCCGAAGGCATTTGTGGGAAGGCAAATCGTGTGCTTCTTTAAACTCCACCGCTCCCCAAGTTTACCGCTTCGGCGACCCTAATAGGAGAAAAAACATTTAAAACAAGTAATTAAACAGTAAACAATAAATTCCGCAATATTTAAGTTACGCTGACCTTTATAAAATGAAAAACAATAGTGTTACAATTCTCCCAACGGTTTACCGCTTCATTGTGGCTAGGAGACCTTCCTGGGTGTCGGGCTGCAATGTACAGCGAGTGGATTCATTCCCCTAGTAGGGTCTCCAAAGCTGAGAAGGAACCCGTTTTCATTAAGAAACGCAGCTAAGAGTAAACCAATACCGGGATCCACACCGTCCTGGAATTAAACTAGTCCCATATTGGCAAATCTTCCTCTGATCCACAAGGGCGGCGTTTACAAGCTCGTGCCCACCAGGCCCACACCACCTTTCGCGATGGGAAAATTGCTATAAACTTGTTTATGAACAGTTTCCCCTCTAATCACAGTTGAAACGCCCTAGCTCCCCAGCACTCCAGCGAGAATCGATTCAACTAAAATTCAACGACAATCATAAAGATGAGAACAACAGCCCTCAAGCAGCAGCTGAAACCGCACGTAGAACATTCGGACTATCTTGGATGATGGATGCAGGGAAACGAATGGAATGCAAGACTGGCGCCCGCACAGTAGATGTGAGGATGGGTCGTGTAAAGTAAATAGAGCAAAATAAAATAAATAAACCCTTAACATACAACTTCCTCCTCCTTAAGAATTTAAAATGGACAGAAACTTCTAACTTCACGAAAAGAATTTAAAATGGACAGAAACTTCTAACTTCACGAACCCTATGGCGTGGTGGTACGACTTCAATTTGTTCGTCCGCCGCATCACTGTCATGTTCTCTCCTCTTACTGACGTAATCGCCTCCATGATGATTCAAAAATGAACTAGTCAACGAAGGAATATCAATGTGTGCATGTCGAAGGCGACCACAACCACATCTACAATCACTGTATTTAGACTAGGACAAAAGGACAGCAATGATAGTCTAAAACTGAACGTAAAACTACTCTTAAGTGGGATTTTACAGCGAAAATCACAGAAGAAAAACGACTCAGAGGATACTATAAAAATAAATGGTTCGCAAAACATCACTCCAGCTGGTGATTATCAACAGATATCATTAAAGTAGTTGAGAGATGGAATCAAGAAAGCTATAAAAATTCAAAGACTTTAAATAGTTGTTCCACAATTTTTGGAAATCACGGCTACTTTATCAAGCGAAATTGTTAACTACAAGAAAAAAGAACCATTGGACGTTTATAAAATCTCCCATTTCTTCTCTTGACAAGAAATAACCTACGCTGAGTGAATCAGATGGGATACCAAAATATCTTACTTTTCTGGATACTTATTTGTAGGGATAAATCGTGCACATTCGCGTCTAGTGAATGCTTCAACAATCCAGTGAGCCTTGTTTATTGACTAAAAAGAGAAAATTTTTGGAAAGAAACTGAGATCAAAGTTACAACCTTAAAAATGTTATTTACGCTCTAACCAGATCCGACTCGGAAAATTTCATCTGACTGAAGAGTGGCGGTAACGACGGATGTAATTCCACGTGCGGCTCACTGAGTTTCCTTGAATTCGACTGAAATATAAGTAGTCTCACAACAGTGCGCTAAAACAAAGGCTTTTGATACAATATTATTAAAACTAACAGTACTAATAAATTGTTCTTTCCTGATATCGAAGCACAATGGTGAGTGTAGCACAGCGGTTAGAGGTGCCCTACGATTGACATTTGGTTGCTGAACTCCATCCCACGCCCAAAGCCCACAAAATCTTCCATACCACTGAGATCGGCAAATTGGTACCAGACTTGCCTGGAAGGATAGCATTGGCCCAATACATCCGCAGACCACCGAGTCATTATAAAGGCCAGATATGCATTAAATCACCTCAAACGATGCTTGAAGTCGAATGCATGATGTGTCCCCTAACGATTGATCAATGCCTAACGATTTTCCTTTTAATGTTGAAGGGCCAGCTCTTTTTTCAAAGAACACAGTAACACAAAATGCGGAAAGGCCATAAACGATAATATACTCTAAACACTGTGGAAAAGCTACTATACGATATTAATCAAAAGGATAAAGGATAAAGCTCTTGGCATTGATCAATTCCTGAGGGTGAGCCATGCATTTAACTTCATTAAGCTCCGTTTGGAGGTGATTGAATGCATATCTGGTCTTTACAATGACTCGCCGTGACCTACCGATGCACAAAGCCAGTGCTGCTATTCTCCCAAACAAGTTTGGTACCAATTTGCTGACCCCGTATGGATGGAAGGCGTGGTGGGCCCGCTGGACGCGTGGATCGATTCCATGTGTATCGCAGTGCCCCCCAGACTACTGCGCTACACGCGACCCTACTATGCCATCTCGTCTCATACAATGCGTATAAGTAGAATTCAAGTAAAACACAACTGGTTATATTACATGACACATAATACTTTAGGATTACAATATTTGAGGAATACATAATTTCCGGTGCGATAAGCTTATCTGAGAAGGTAGAAAACTTTCCATTGAACATAGTAGTCGCGGTTATCTCATTAAATGTGTAGTAATTTATAAAAAGTTGCCCGCGTCACTCTTAATATTGCTCTATCACCAAAATTACTATAAGTTCAATGGAGAATATGGCATAAGTAGGTATAGACAGATTAATTACTTTGACCAATAATGCTTAATGAAATGAACTGTCGAGCGTTTCCGACTTTTCAATATTTAGGCTGATAACAACATGTTTGTCGAAGATCGTTCCAAGCGATAGTAGTACCGCGGGCTGGAAAAACCAGGGCTGGACGTAGAATACGCAAACGAATACTTTTATTCAAACAATAAAATCTGTTATTGGAACTGCACTACGAAAACACAACTTTTCACCGACCTCTTACTATACCTAGAAGAAAATGCGTTCGACAAGAATACACCATGTCGTCAAAGTTGTTTTGTGTCGCACTACAGTGGATAATGAAGCCGCTCGATTGGGATGAGAAAAGCATACGTATTGATGGAAAATTCCTATCAAATAATCGTTTCGCCGATGACATTATCGTCTTCCCAGGAAGTACCAATAAGCAGAGACGATGAACTCAACGAAGCGGTAAAAAAAATATGGGACTAGGCCTAGATCGGAAAAAGAGCCAGTTCATGAAAAGCGCATGGTGGGAAGACGAACAACATGAAAGAAGAATCAAATGGAAGAAGGAGAGCAACTTGGGCCTCATTCGCGATTATGAAAGAAGCGACCGATTAACTGAAGACACGAAAATTCGCACTCACCTTTTGATTCAACAGTCCTCTCAGCACTCTAGTATGCAGCAGAAATCTGGTCGGTTACTTCAAGCACGTCAAGAATACTGCTCAAGACTCACACAGTGCTTGTATGATGTCTTCTAGAATACAACCGACACAACCAATACCTAATGCTAAGCTCTCAGCTTCGAATTCTCTCTCCTCCTCGATACCCAGTAGAGCCAACATCGATGGGCCGACCATATAATGGGAACAGTAGACAACAGATGGATGAAAAAACAACTGCAGAGTTGACTCCACGAATATGCAGGTGTCCCCTAGGACGATCACCTACAAATAGTGCGGACGTGTTCGTAAATGAAGCAAATCAGCTGTGCTCGTAGCCGCGGTTTTTTTACATACCACGCTACGAAACTCGCATCCTCCAGCGTGCTCAGCACCATGAACGATGAATGCGAGGCAAAAACGAATGGAGAATGTGCTAGGGTCCGCACAATCGTGTAGACGGACCATCGAAGTATTTAGGTAATAACTGATTACTTTCTTTTTCATTTCTTACTCTCCAAGTCCGTTAGATGGCTGTCACTGAATGTAGGTTTCTAAAATCACAGAAGGGAACAAATACATAAATATTGGATCTCATTCATAAACAACCTTCAAAAGTACGGTAGTAAATTAGAAGACATCCATATATTTTATTTAGAGACAGCATTGCTCAACTCTACAATGTTTTATAATCGATGACTAAAAAAACGTAAGGAAGTAGAGAAGATTTCTATCTCGTTCGTTCACTTCGATATGATCGCTTCTCTCGTCAAACAGCACAACGAAAGTTCCACAGAAACTTTGAAAGAGACACCAAAGAGCAGCCAATCTTTCGAACGACACAAAGGAATTCGCTTACGAACAAATCAGATTTGGACGCCTACGTCATGATGCGTTTTACTGTAGGTTGTGTCACCACTTTAGGAGCACTAAGAGCTCTTGAAGTACGTGCTACAACCCATCCAGTTAAAATTGAACAGTACCTTAATTGCATGGATACTAAAATAACCTACCCCATTCGTCTCATCTCGAGCCAAATCGTGAGATTCTATGATCGCTAGCATATCTCTCCAGTCGGTTGAGTGGACATTTGGAGGAGGAATAGCGTACCCAAGAAGTGATCTACCACCTTTTCTTGGCCAAGCACCTCCGGTAAAACTACCTAAAATGATGAGTAATAAAAAATTAAACGACCGCACAGAGTAGTTATAAATATTATTAAAATATTAAAACATATAGTTCCCGATGCAGCTTAAAAGAAGTGATTCATTTCTTTCCACGTTTGCACCTATTCCTACGCTGTTTTCTGTCACTTTTTTGTGCGACCAAACATCACGTATAGTGGAGATCTCGGCTCTTCTTGCATTCAGTTCGTTTCCTCACATCCACATCCATAAAGTCCATGAAAGTCTTCGGATTTGCGTGAGTATTTGATTACTGCATGAGGTCATCTGAACGTCGTCGAATGTTAGTCGAGCAGATTCTTCATAGAACCCTGAGGTAGCCGTACCAGGGCGTTCCCAAATCTTCATCATGATAGGCGCCATCTTCTATTGACTTGGAGGAGCGAGCTAATCCCAGCCAAGTTTCGTTCTGATTTCCGGACTTCAAATGGATAAAGGTTAGTGGAACAGGGTCAGTAATACGCGTGAATATGAAACTGCACCAATACTACAGCAATATCCGTGTCCCACACTGAACAACTAAAAAGGCAATTTGGAAGCATTATAATGCTAGAGAAGTCCTTTTGACAGAAACTAAGAAAAAAAAGGAAATCAATGTATGAAATCATACATGGTTATTGTGAGAGGTAAGAAAACAACAAAGGAAACCACATGCAACACCAACACAGCTGCATTGGTTAGCCAAGTATTAACCTTTTAAGCCATAAAAGTACAAATGTAAGAAAAAAGAACCAAAGGGAACATGAAATATCTCAATGGCAAAAGCAATAAAACACTTGCATTACCAAGCAAACGATATCACTCAAATTATTGTGCGATTTCTGGATATAATTTGAGACGGGTATCCAATAAAAATGCCGCTCCCTGAGGTGTGCAGTTACTGCAAGAGAGAAATACTTCACTCTGTTAGCTCACTTTCGTTTTTCTGTCTTTGCATGCTGCAAAACACAAGATGAGTATTAAAAGATCATACCATTTATCTAATTTATTTGGATACTTCTCATTTCACGATTCTCAACGACACCCATTGAAAATTGGGATCCGAAGCTCCGATTTGCGTCAACGATCAAAAATCAAACATGCTTTTCTGTACATCAAACAGTCGAAGATAAGGTGGGCCGGACACGTAATGCGTATGAATGACAACCGATGGACAAGAGCCGTTAGTGACTGGATTCCTCGTGATGTCTAACGTACTGCAGGAAGACCACCGACCCGATGGTCAGAGTTCCTCACAAAGAACCTTGAAGAAAGATGTGATTTTGCTCTACAAGTCCCTACTACTCTTCCCCACTGGGCTACTCTTGCACGCGACAGGGAAAATTGAAGATTTACTGGCGCCCGCTCGAGCCGCTCGACAATCACCGGGACTACAGGTGATGCAGGTGACTTGGATACTTGAATGTCTCGCCTTCACTGGTTGTGCGAGCCACAGAATAATTTCCATTTTTCGGGGATTTACTGGCTTAACTAATGTGGTTCCCTCGAGCTCGAGGTCAGCCAGTCGAAAGTCTGCTCCTGGTAGTCGCCACTATAGGCAATCGTAGCGATTGTGGAACAGAGAGAGATTTGCCACCACGCGACTAATTTGATACTAAGGCGGCGACGAATCCTGGTATTGGTGTACTCTTAACCGGGTTTCCTAATGGAAACGCCGGACTTTCTCAACTTGACAGAACCTGCTGGGGTGATGGATCCCACCACTGTCCATCGAAACCCGACATCCAGGAACACCTCCCAGCCATGATGAGGCAGTAAGCCATTGGAAGGTCTACCGTTGATTTATCGAATTTGCCAACAGAAATTGGCACAGAAAGCTATAAAGCTAGGACAAATGACGATAAGGTAAGTTGATGGATCCCTCGTACCGTTCGGGCGCAAATCCAACATAAAAGTCACGAATACCGAATAAAGCCATTCATATTTTGTATTAAAGGCGACCATTCATATAGCATCACACTGCATGCCGGTAAGGTCACAACCAGAAGTGGCCGTGTGGCTAAAACGAGTGTGGTGGAACTCATAAACGATTTGCTACACCAAGAAAGACACTTGTAAACAGATAATTGACATGCGAGTGATGGCCCATGCAGAAAGGACAAGAAGGAGCTTCTCGAAAAAATGGAAAGATAAAAATGACATTCTTTAAGATTAGCGTTGTAAAATAGGCGTCCCTTTTCGAAAACTCTTCTGCAAAAAATTGCAGTCGATGCTATAATTAACTACAGTCCTTGTGCGCACAAGCGACCATGTGGCATTCTTTTCTGCACAGGTCTGGAGATTTAATGATACAAATGAAAATACAAAACAAATGTTTCGAGCAGACCATTAGAAACGCCAATAAGAAGTATAAATAGAACGTGAACGGCTCCTAAAGATAAACTGTACGGAAACATATGATGACTGCACATTTTGTGAAAAGCAGCTATTCCGAAGTGTACACCTACAGAATAATTACACCTATGCAAAATTTTCCAACTATTTAGCATATTAATGCACCTATAACATGTCCCTAATGCACAATCTTCTGCATTCAATTACAGCAGAGACACCTGAAGGGCAATAACCTCTAGGTTGTATTCCCTTCACTAAACACAATCTCTCGCCGACGAAATACACTCGTCAGAAACGTTTTTTGTAAAGCATTAAGTGTAGAAGAAGCTTCAAAGGCCGACTAATAAGTATAAAAATAGAGCAGGAAGGTTTCGTAGTGCGAGATTAACAGGAGCAAAAAAAACAACGAGTTAATACCGACTCACACCGGGGACAAACTAGCCTTGAGCTCACCTCATAAGCCTTAGGAAGTACCCACAACTTATAGACCTCATATTAATCTCAGAAGTTCGGGTATTAAAAGGTAACATCGGGTGCGTTCCCTGACCACAAGAGAATTCAGCGACAAAAATCATAAATGCATCAAGTTTAGACGTAACGAAAACACCGTTTTTGAAATTTGAATGCAACCATAAACACTGACCTGTGATTGCTTTAAAAGAATCGTACCAAGGAATGAGGAACGTCGAATAAATCTCTCTAACTTTACTACATTCATTGCCTATAGAACAACTTCCAGCTCCAATGAGGAGAAAGTGAAAAGGAAGCACTCCATGAGTATAGGAAAAAATCGTAAAGCAAGAATCATTGGGATACTTACATACGACTTATAGCCAAGTATTTTTAACACATGATGCGTCCACTTCTGACCAATGACGGATAAAGGGTAACGCGGAAACCAAGAGCAATCTTCAATCCGGTCATTCACCAGGTATACAAGAACTTCGAAACCACGATATACAACCGGTCAGATATTCAGACTTCTTCGAACAGAATATAGAAGAAAACCTGAACTCTTCGAATCCTCCATAAGATCCACTAGACAAAATCAGCTAACAACGCGCACAAATGGATTTCTTGCCAACGTTCACTCAGTGGTCGTGACTACTTGGAAACGTTAAGCGCAACTTTTAACGAAGAGAAATACGAGGAAAGATTGATAATTGGGAATTCCACCTTATAAATATCGACCTTATAAAAACAATGGTAATAATATCTCGCATAGGTCAAACAGAAAAAGTGTTTATTTTGATTGCCTGAAGAGATTAGATTACAATTAAATCATCCCAGAATTTACATGAAAACCTAACTCGCATCCAACTTCTTATTTATCTCAGTACAAACAACAATTCCGAAGGATCGTCTATATCCAACTGCACCGCAATACCAACATGACCAGCACATTGTATTTTTTTCTTATTTTATACGACCAGTCTTCACATCTACTGTGCGGATCCCAGCACTTTTCACATTCCATTGGCTTCTTCGCATCCATTACCCACAACGACCTTCCAAATTTACGTGCGGCTTCGACTGCTGCTTGAGGAATTTCATTTCATCTTGCACATCGTAGAATGATGGTTGAGTCGAATCTCCCCGGAATACTGAGATAGCTGGGTTGGAACGTTCCAAACTGGATTACAGCGAGATTTTTTCCCAGACAAGTCCGGCACCAACTTCCTGATTCCGGAGAGATGACAGTTTTGGATGACAATTTTTCTCACCACTCAAATAACACGACGGTCGAAAACCAGGTACGTTGCAAGTTCGGTGTTAAACGAACAAGAAAATATCTAACGATCAACAGGTACACTCCTTCACAAGAAACTTCATGTAAAGAAATCCTTCTATGGGCGCGCTGAGTCCAACCGACAATTGTACCATGGGAGATCAGCGGTGTAGAGTCGCTCATTCTTTTACCAATAAACTACAAACGCCCTTTGAGAATCTTAACCCTTTTATTTACTGCCTTTTTTTCTTTTTAATGGCAGGGTATGTTGCGAAATATAACTCGGGTATAATGCTGAGATATTTGCAAAACTCCGGACCGCAGGTGTATGCGGTGGGGAACGAACGCAGGGTGATTGCTGATGGCAAAAGATCAGTAGAATTAGCTGAGAGACAGGCAAAACGAAGGACCCGGATGGTGTGGTGGTGAAGTGCGCTACTCCCCAGTAAGAACAATAGCGCGCTCGTTCCCCACCGCATACACCTGCGGTCCGGAGTTTTGCAAATACCTCAGCATTATATACGACCTTTGGGAAGTTTGTCACCAAAGAATTCAGGGTATGCACAGGAAATATACCTCGTATCCAATAAAAAAAAATTAGGTAACTGAATGGATTATACTACAAGAAATGGCGAAAGGGTAAGTGACCTATCTAACAAGTAAGGATAAGGGATAAAGCTCTCGGCGTTGATCAATCCCTGAGGGATGCCCCATGCATTCGACTTCATTAACCACTGTTAAAGGTGATGAATGCATATTTGGCCTTTACAATAACTTGCGATGGTCTTCCAATGTACTGAACCAGTGCTACTATCCTCCCAGACAAGTCTGGTATCAATTTGCCTAACCAGGAAGAGAGATGGAAGGCTTGGTGAGGCTTGGATGTGAAGACCGATCCTATGTGTATTTCAAGGTGCCTCCGACCATTACGCTACACGCGCCCTTATGAAGTATAACATCCAACAAAAGATAAAAGGATAAAGCGTTCGGTATCGATCAACTCTGCTCGCATGAGTTACGCAGTGGACTTCATCATAGCACCACAGATGTGATTATCTCCATATTCAGCCTATATGATAACCTGGTCACCAATAAGTCATTATTTTCGCACTCCCAAACAGATCTGATACCAATTTTCGACCCCAGAGTGATGTCGGAACTTCGTTTACCCGTAGAGCAGGCTCGAGCCAAGATGTCAACGCATATAATAGATTATCTCTAACCACTATGCTATATAAGTGTTCAGCTTCCAAAAGTGATAAAAAA